AGATAACTTATTTTCTTACAGTTGATGTTCAGCAGTAAGAAAGGGATTGCAAATTACTATACTCCTCAACACTTTAGAAGATAGTTGGCACCTAACTACTAAAGCAAAATGAACTAAACCTGACCCTGGAACTCAACCTTTATGCCTCTAGAAAGGCCATTTTTAATGAGTTTCCTTTCAGTCCTAAGCTGAGCTCATCTGTTTGAACTCAATTTTTATTTAAAAACAAAGCCCAGCAGCAGTAGGCATGCAGAAGTCAGTGGAGATTATCTTTGCATAAAAGAGACCGAGCCTGCCTCTCAGAAGAGTCACCGGGCTGCTTTGGAGACTCGCACCACCAACATTCTTCCTAGAAGACACTTTCATGACAATTCATTACGACTGAGAGTCATTCTTTCCTTTCTAAAGTTTTCTTCCTTCAGTATTTTCCTGGGACAGGTAACAGAAGAGCTTCCAATCAGCCTTGCTTTCTTATTCCCCATCTAAGCCCAAACCCAAACATTTCTCTTATTTTATAATAGTTGATCTATTTTTATGTGTATTTTGTACCCAAATTCAGAAGAGAGCTAACAAAATGTAAGGTACCATTCCAGGCAGTTCCTTTTAAATATAATTCTATTTTTAGGTTTCAGGATGTGGAACAGTTGCTTTTGAATTTAAAACTTTGATACCAAAGAGTGTGTCCCTCTTTAAACGTGCTTCTGAGCATGCCTCCTGGCCATCAAAGGAGGCTGGCTCCACTCGTTTCAGTACCATGATAAAGTGATCAAGAATTCTATTCCCAAGGATACTAATTCCTTTATCTTGTCCTAAAGCCAATTATTTTACAAATGATATCCACTGCTCATATAATGTGACATGTTGACGGTATATGGATCGAAGGGAGCAAATCCATTATGACTTCTCCAAGTCATATATCTCAATGGGTGCCTGTTGAGCCTGGCATTCAGATCATCTTCATGTTTGAAGACAATAGGATGGTGTTGAGAACATAAGCTCTAGCCTCAGACTGCCTGGGTTTCCATTTCACCCTCGTTGCTATGGCAGTTTGGGCAGCTCACTTAGTTTCTCTAGGTCTGTTTCCCCATTTCACTTTATAGCAGTGCTTCTCAAATTATTCATCTAAGATATTGTTTAATGTAAAAGCTGCATTGAGCTATAATTTATATACCACACAAATCACTCATTGAAAGTGTACCTTTCAATGTTTTTAAATCTGTTCAGAGTTGTACAACCAGCACCACAATCCATTTTGGACGATTTGTGTCACCATCTGGGGAGCTTTTAAAAAACGAAAGCTCAGGGTGTGCCCCAGATTAATAAAATCACAGTCCCTAGGGCTGGGCACAGGCATCAGTAGATTGTGAAGCTCCCTGATGTTCCAATGTGCAGACGAGTGTGGGAAGCAAGGCTCCATAGGGTCATTATAAGGATCAGGTGGAAAATAAACACAAAGAAATGGGGCTTCTCATCACCTAGACTGACCTATAATGAGCACCAAAAAGGTGTGGGGAAGAAAATAATGGGAGGACTATTTAAAGAGTTATACTGGAGCTAGTATAATCTGGACTGAAATGAATTTTTATTTGTGATACATTTGACAGTACTACATTTCCACGCACAGCATAGTCTGAGAGTCTCTAACTTGGGAATGAGAACTTTGGGGGTCAGACAGAGACCATGAAGGTATAGGAATCTATAACTTATCGTCACACTGCAGATAACTCCCAAGCTTCCTGGCCCTTTTCTTAGCCTTCCAGAAGCCACAAAGTGCCACCTCTTTGTGAAAATTTTACCCACTAAATTTACTCTTTGTTGTAATTTTGCACTGTGCATACCACATAATGCAGCACTTTCCAACCTGTGACACGTTCACTTAGAAGCTGGTCTCCCTCACCAGAGATGAGCTCCTTACAGGAAACAACAATACCTAACATATTAAAAAAATCTCCATAGCATAGCACATATTTTGGCATCAAGTATACAAATGTTCATTGGATAGAATCACAGTGAATTCATATCAAATACTGACAACCCTGCAATGATGAACAGAGAATGCACTTGTTCCAAAGTTCTCAGAACACATAGTGGCCATTGTAGCTCAAAAAAGACTGGCAAACCAGCCCTGCAATTTTGCTCTATTAGGCACACATCCTGAGCAGCATTGCTTTGGGTACTTAACTCCAGTGAATAAATGGCACCACCACACGCAGTTATTAAGAACACTGAATAATGCATTACCAACATGGAGATCAAGAAAAAAATTGTTAGTTAGAAGGAAAAGATTAATTAATATCAATTAATTTTCATTTACAGTAATAGATTGTGCAGAAGTCTTTTAGCTTCTGAGGAAAATTTGAGAAAATTTTACAATACACAGGAATTTGCATATACACTGGGAGCAAAAAAAAAGCTGGTCCCCAAATCAGTTACCTGGGGTAATGTTCAAGATGAAGAACAAAAGACTGGCATTTGTAGCAGTGCAGAGTAATGGGGGAGGGAATAAAAGAAAGACAGGCTTTAGGGAAGAGAGAAAGCTTAGGAATTCAAAAGAAATAAAATTATAATTACAATACAGTATACATGGTTACACAATAAGCAATAGTGTTCTTTGAAAACCAAAATGTAGAAATGATCTGAAAGCAAGTTAATGGAAAGCTATTCAGTAAAGTCCATCAGAGAAAGTATTCCTTTTCATTAGCATCTTCCTTCAAGTACAAGATAATAATGTTTAATTTATAGCCCAGAACTAGACTACAAGAGTTTTATTATAGAGCAAACTTGGGCAAATCATTTCTTTGGTCTTTGCTTTTCCCTTCTAAATGGAAGGCTTGGAAGCGAGATAGTGTTTCTCCAAGTTTGTTCTGGAAGATTTAACAGGCATTATTTGAAAAGGGTCTAGGTTCAAACATTTTGAGCAAATGTTGGATAATCCAGGTTGCTTTCAGGACTTGGCCGAAAGTTAACTCTGTCAATGTTGATTCCAAGAGGGAATAATTTCCAGCATTTCCCCAACCACAGAATTCTTTGCAACAGACTTTCCCAATCGACTAGTGTTTCACTGAACTCACCCTAGAAAATTCCGGATTATAAAGCTCTCACAGGTCCTTTCTGGATTTAAAGTGCATAGATTCCTAATTATGGTCACTTGAAAACAACACCACATAAGATAATCCATCAATAGCCGAGTGACTAAGGTAATAATTAATATTTAGGCAGAAATTAGATGCAAAATCTCTAACTGCTAGGCAGTACAAAGAAGCAGTAACTGGCTTTCTTCTCCACACATGCCTACAGACTCCTTTGCTTTTATTTTAATTACCCCAAGCTGAGCATCAGTGGGCAAGATTCACTCTGCAATTTTTAATTATTATTTATTCTATTGGTTGGATATGCCTTTCACATTCTAGTCTCTTAGGCATCTTTCTTCACCAATAACATAGGGGAGAAAACTGGATTGCCAATAATAAAATGGCTTAGAAGTCCACAGCCAGCATTTCCAAAATGAGCATCCCTCTGACCCAGTGCCATCTAAGTATGAGGCCCATCTGGCTTCTCTGTGTTACCCATGCCCTGCGGATTCTATTCTCACCCGCTGCTCAACTCCTACCATCTGAGTCCTAGAATACACAAAACAAAAACATGTGGTTGGTTGACAGAAAGGATACAAGGCTTTAAGTGGGAGAGAGTCAGATTTACCACATGATTTCTTTTGACCTGAGTCAAAAGGCTCTTCAGCAACATGGTGCAAGAGGAGCCTATACTGGCTGGGGAAAGGTGAAAAGAAGAGAGGCAGCAAGGGCAGACATCTGGGACCCACTGGTCAGCGAGTCGGGGGCTTATTTAACCACCAGACCCAATTTGCTTGATAGGTAGCACTCTATTTCATCATCTAGGCAACCCTACCAGGTAGCTCCCATTATTCCCGTTTTTGCTTGATAAAAGTGAGGCTCGAAGAAGTAAAATTAATCACCCAAGACCCAAACCTACTAAGTGGCAGGCTAGGACCTGTGCTCAGGTCTGTCCCAGGCCCACATGCAAGCTCTTCCCCAGAATTGCCTGGATTTGTGCCAGAAAATATGGACTTAGGGACTCATCAGATGTCACCTACTTTAGGAAGGTGAAGTTGCTCACTCAGTTGCACAGAGCTCATAAATGACGGGCCTTGGGTGAACCTGAATCATGAGGCTACAATGGTGCATTGCTCGGGATTATGACCATTTCCCTCAGATGCTTCCCTTCCTCTGCAGAAATGTCCATCTCCTTTGGACTTGAATTTCTGCAGAAAAGCTCACATTTGCTTACGAATGTCCCAGCTAACTTCAGTCCCACCTCCTGCACTTTTCTCCCCATCTCAGATTCCAAGACTGAACATTCCGAGTGAGGAAGGGAAGGGGAGCCCGGAGCACTGCAAAAGTCTGCCTGAGAGGCTTGTGCCCTTCTGTAGCATAAAGGACACATGGACAAACAACTAAGGGGGGTGGAAAGGGGAGGGACGTGGGGGGCACAAGGGTGGGTGGGTTGGGATGGGAGTAAAAGGAAGAATACTATAGTTGAAAAATATTTTTTTTAAAGATTTTATTTATTTATCTTTAGAGGGGAAAGGAAGGAGAGAGGGAGAGTATTTAAAAAATAAATTAATTTAAAGAATTACTCTAATATAAATAAATAAGTAAATAATTTTTTTAAACATCTAAAAAAATGGTCTCCCGAAGGACTTTTGTTCCCTAGGAAACTGTGCCTGTACTCACCAGGCCCAGGACTGTCCTGCAGGATCCAGGGCAGCTACAGCAAGTGGCAGAAGACACGACACACACTCAGCTCTCTGCACTGCCTTCCCAGAAAGGGAAGGGAGGACAGCTGCCCCCACTTAAATGCTGATAGGGCTAAGGGGTCAGACAACTCTATCACCGGCATTTTGACCTTTCTCTTTCCAGACAGAAAGCTGAAGATGCTTCCTTTGATAACAATTCATTGTGTTTCATTTTTTTTTTGCATACCTTTCAATACTGTATTCTGCTTCCCAGTTAGAAATGATTCCAGCAGCTCTTCAAGACTTCCAAGCTCTCTCCTCTCTTCCTGCCTTCTGCCTTTCCTTGCAAAGCAACAAGGGGGGTTACTTCCATGAAGCCACATAAGCCTGCAAATTCACTCACAAATTGGTGACTGCATTCTTGCTGGAATCTCCTTCTCCATCTTCCCCTTTAACCTTAGATTTTTAAAAATCATAACTCTCCCTTGTGACTTTGAGCATAGCTCAGAGTAACACTAACCAGTGCCACACTGATTTAAAACAGCCCCACCTGTGCCTCTGCTGGGGCGTGGTTGAGGCAGGCACTGAGATCATAGAAAAGTGGTCAGCCACAGCTGAACAGGATCATCAGGGAGCGTCTGTGAATTCTACAATTGCTCCCCTCCTACAACCACAGCCGGGATAGAAGCCACTTCAGGGTTGTGAAGACTCCATCCTCGGACAACAATCCCTACCCATGCCTACGCCACAGTCCATGTGATCGCTCTGGAACAAATGGCTCACTGAAGTGTATGGTCCTTGACGGACCCTGGGCCTGAGTTAAAAAGCAAAGCTCCATCAGTTGCACCTTTGCCCATCTCCTTTCATTCTTTCCACCTGCCAGGGTCAGAAAACTGAAGCAGCCCTTCACAGCCCTCCCTGGACTCCCTCCTTCATCCCTAGAGGATGAGTTACTGTTCCCCTGGGATTTATAATGACCCCTTTCACACTCTGTCCTCCTTTCTAAAGCGTCTGTCTCCCCAGGTGACTGTGAACTTCCTGAGGGTGCGAACATTGCTTCTCTCATCTTGATAGCCCCTAGAACAGAGATGACAGACAAAAGTGTCTGAAGCAGTAAGGAGTGAGTGAATGAACATAAAGATCATAGTCTCTAGAAAATTTACCCTCTAGCAGGTAAGATAAGACAAAAATACATGAGACCAGGCAGTAAGTAGTAAATATCTGAATAAGTAATAAAGGAAAAAGGGATCTCTGGACTTGGCTAAGGAGACAAATGGCAAGCTAGTTAGGAACCTGGTAGGAATATGTCCACAGGTGGGAAGGTTGTCTTTGGGGGAAGCAACATCTAGGCCCAGGATCTGCAAAGGAAGGGAGAGAATCAGAAAGATAAGCTGAGATCCAGCTGCCAGAAGGCTTTCGATAGCAAACAAAAATTTATCTTTTTTGTTATTGTTGTTGTTGTCTAGACATTAGAGAAGAGTGCTCATGGAATGCTAATGTGGCAGTGATACCCAAGAGGATGGGGTGGACAGAGGTAGTGGCAGAGGGATTCATCAAATGTAGGGACCAGCTTATGTAGTAACAGAGGAAACACTTATCAGTCACCTATTTTAATAAAAGAAGATTTTCATTTGAAAGCATTGAAAAAAGTTTTAAAAAGACCATAGCACAGAAAAAGAAGAATTAATATTAACAGGAAAAAAATGACATCAAAGACAGAATTCGTGGGTCAGATGAAAACAAATATAAATTCTAGTTCTAATTCTGAGAGATTCAAACATTCTTTACTTATAAGAACAAGTTATTTATCCTCCAAGAAACAGAATTCATTCCTGATGGTTCCTGTGAAGAGTTTTAAATAAAGGTGTGAACAGTATTTTAAAAAACACAGCAGGATGAAAGGGCAACAGAGACAAGCAATGGAGGGCACCCCTACTGCTGAAGGAACAAGGGAGGAACCGTGTCACTCAAGGCCACAAGCCCGACACCACGGAGACCAGGGTGCCTGAGGGGAGCTGCCATAGTGGAAGGACACAACTCTGAGCAGAGAAGAGGCTGCCAAGACAAAAGAGGGAGTGAGAGATACCCTGATTTCATGGAATGTGCACTCTCCTAACTTCTGCGAGGGGCTTCTATGGGGCAACCCAGCAGGAAGGGCAGGGGGTACAGGACAGGGAAAGGGGGACAAGGGACCTCGCTGAAATGAAGACGAACCAACACAAGGTATCATGTAAAAGGAAAATCCCAAGTGTAAGAGGAAAAGGGGTCAGTGGATATTAAGAAAATGACAGGTAAAACAAACACACACACAAGCATGGAGTGGAAGGTAAGGTATGGAAAAGTTCACAGGACAAGAAATAAGGAGGTGAAAATATGAAAGAAAAATCAGAAAGCATCTGAGAGGGGTCCCAGAGGGGGCTCTGTGATTACTAAATGCCAAGGGTATGGTGTCTGGAAACACTCCAGGGAAAAACACAAGCAAAGCGGAAGAAATGAAACTGAATCATTCTTTAGGATTCAATAACATGCAATGATAAAACATTCCCTTCACCCCTGAGTCCTTGGAGGATAAAGAAATCTGGGACAATCTGTTCCCTTAACACATCAGAAAAGCAGCTCTTTGTTTCAAAAGGTCTGTGGTGAAACACAATTCCATGACGTTAATCAATTTATTTCAATTGACAGTGAAACATAAATGAAAGGTCCCCATTTCGAAAAAGGCCATGAAAATGTGAAGGCGTTATTATTTCCAAGCTGAGAGAAGAGGCTAGTTTTTCTGCCTGATACATTTCAGAAAGGTTCAATCAGCCAGGGCAGGAGAATAGATTTAAAATAGAAAAGTAATGGGAAAAGGGCTTTCCACATAACAGAGATGGTGACGGATGAAAAACCATCTGTCTGGATCCTACCCCATTGATACCCCCTTTCCCAGGCAGTTTGGAAAGTTTGTGAACCTACAAGTTCTCATTTCCTACAGCTTCTGAGTCTAATTACATATTTGTATCCATACACAGATTTACATGTGCATATACACACTGGTCTCACCCAGGGTTAGAGATAACTGCACACTCAACAGCAAACAACCATCTGAAAACGCAACCTACATATGAAAAAACATTGTGTGTTGTTTTTCAAAGATAAAAAGGACAACATTGGCTGAAAATGACAACACCCAACTCAATGATTCATTCATCTATTCAACATTTACTACTGGGCACTGTGTTACCAGATCGCAAGCATGAGGCCTAGCCTGTCCTGATTCTGGCCTTCTCAAATGAACACGGCCGGCTCAGGGAGCAAGCTCCCCGACACCACATTTTGGAGCTGTGTTTCAACAGCAATAAAAAAAAATCAAATGCATAGGCTTCCCAAATGTCTAGTAGCTACCCAGATTCCCCTCCCCTTAACTTATCCTGTTACAGTTAGGTTCCCCATGCTCACTTGTGTATTAGAAATAACAGGGGCAATTTAATGCCTTATGACTGCCCCATAAATATCTAAGTCATGAGTACTCAGATGGAAGCTGTACTAGTACTTAGTAAAAGCACCCTAAACAAGGCAGCTGACAATAAATCTCTTAATGAAAATGTAGTCAATGGTGCATTTAATTTGATGGCATAGTACACTTTCAAATAATCCAAAGTTTGTATTTGGTGAGAAAAAAAGAAGTGAGTCCACCTCTCTTGTGCTGTTCTTCAAAAATATATTCACACACTTAGAAGACATCAATGATAAGAGGCTTTCTTTACATTTTTGGATTTGGTGAAAAGCTGTGTTTTTTATTTTAATTCAATAAATACATATAGTTTTCCAGCTACCCCAGGACACTTATAAAAACAAGGTGCTCTGTTTTAATGAGGTTAGCTTTAGAGCGACACTTGAATCGTTAGATGCCTCATTAGCTGCTATGAAAACAGACTTCAATCTTCTTTCCCTTTCCTAATATTAGTGCCAACAATAATTCAATTGCTGCAGTAATTCCAGGTGACTGCAATTTTGTAGCAAGCTCTTCAAAAGGCTTACAGGACCACTTGAAGGTCCTAAAGCCTTGAGACTAACTGTGTTTAAATCACTTTGTAGGGCTCCAGCTTGGCATCAGGCACGAAGGGGAGGAAGACCAATGCATCTTCCAAACTCTGTTTCTGAACACAGGAACAGACATTTAAACACACAGAAAGGCAGAGCGAACTAAAATCCTTTTAAATATCTAGTTGATAAATATTTATATTTTCTGCCCTTTGTTACTCAACCTATAGTTTTAAATGGGAAGAAGAGATCTTATTCTTATAAATTACCTGCATAATTTCATTTGCTGGAAATTAGTAAATTTTATTTCTATCATATGTAGAATATTCTTTTCATGAGGCACATACTTTAAGAGTAATTTAAAAGAAAACAAGCTGAAAATTTTATATATAAAATATAGTAGTTGACTCCAAAGAGAAAATGAGTTTTGTGGATCCTTCTATTAATATTCTAAAATACATGAAAACTTAGTGAGGGGAGTCCTGCTTCATCACACCGATGATAGTCACAAGAAATTTACATAAATGTGCCTGTTTATGTAATATGTAATATGTTTATGTAATAGGCATAAATGATGTATTTATTGGTATAGGCATGTTTCTAAATTTCTTTTTTTGATTACAGGGTAGAATTAATTCCTAGAAAACATTTCCTAGGTGTCTTTTGTCTTATACCATATATCTTTGGTATGAAATTAATTCCAGGAGAAGAAATAAAATATTCAAAAAGGAAAGTGGTTTTATGATCTGACCTTTAATGTTATTTCAAGAGATACTGCCATAGGTCTTTGGTCTGGTTTCCATGCAGCTGTGTTATTAATCCCTTCGCCGTCTCTATGGCAGAGGGCCATTAATTGTACATGAAAAACTTCCAAATAATAAAATGGTATGTAAAAGTGGTGACTAAATTAAAGCATTGGGGAAAGAATTATTGTTCCCTGAAAATTTTCAATCAAATGGTTACAGTTTGGTTAAAGTAAAACAACATATATGTATAAAATATACACAGAGATACATACATATTACATACATGTATAGCCATATATCACACATATACACAGATATACATATATACATAGATATACAAATACACACACACATAGATATAGAAATACAGAATTTTTTAAATTGATAGAGTCTGTCTTACATTACTTATGCTGTTATTACAGCTTAGGATAAATGTGAAATGGGAAATTTTAGATTGCCTTGTTCCATTTTGAGAAGGCAAATGTTGGCACATTCTCCGAGTAAAGAAAGAGGCCTTGCCATGTCGGCCAGACTCTTCAGAGAAACGTTAACATCTTGAGATTTCTAGCA